GATCCTCTTGTTCCAGCTGCTCAACTGAGTCCTCATGGAACAAAATTCATGTACATATTTACATGTAAGAATTACCTGCATCACTGTGAGTTTTCTGCAAGTTAACATCTACTACGACTGGGTTCTAAAAAGCCTAGTCAAAGACAAAGCCACACATCCATACAGGACCAGATAATCCCAGAGGCACCAGTGTCCATCAAAAGGACTTTCATTCCCAAGTCTTTAAATTTTTTAAATAAATGTAATACTTTCTGCTGCTGTATGTTCCCAATATCATTATAACACATAGAAGGGAACATTATAAAGTCAGTGTGAATAAAATAAAATTAGAGATATCATTATACCTCACATTTTTCTCAAGGTTACAATCATTATTTTTTAAAGGAAAATCTGAAGCTTGAAAGAAAAACATTTGAATAAAAGATCTATTTGCTTTTAAAAACTCTGAACCAAAAATTGTTGTAAACGTGGTGCAAAAAGAAGAGACTAAATGCACTTAGTGTTTATACTGAAGAATGATTCCAAGACTTCACAGTTAGTATTGGGATTAAGATTAGGAAGAATTCTTAGTGCTAAGTAGAATTTCTGTATTACCAATCACAACAAGCTATTTGGGCGAAGTTTTCAACTTGGACTGGATTTTAAAAGAATAAGAATGAGGTCCGACCTGGCACATGTCTCCCTGTCCCCAGGCACTTGGCTGGAATGGCTTCACAAGCAGCCAAGCACATCCGTTCACTAAATAAACACCGTGTCTAAAAATTGTGTTTCTGTATTGTTTGTTTTGGATTTTATATTCTATATAAGTATTCATAAAACAATATGCAATGTTCACTCTGCTATGCTTTTATCATTGATAATAACGGGAAATATTCTTTCACAAAACATGTTTCGTGTGTGTGCATGCATGCTTGTACTGCGTTGAAAAGTAAAATGTATTTTTGACTGAAGGCTGGGTTAAAAAAAGAAGCTGAAAAAATACTAGTTCATTCAATGAGCTCAGGCCTGGACTCCAACTTGGGTTTCGATGTCAGCTGTGAACTAGCTCCCTGATCTTGGGTGAGTTTCTTGGTCTGTCTGAACTTAGATGCCCCTGTCCCCTGTGGGTGTACTTACAAAAAGGAAAGACACCAATGGCTTTTGTAATAATTTGGTCAGGGCCGAGTTACAGTTTTGAAATCAAAACGATTGCATAATCATACCAAAGCTTAAATAAGACTGTTTAACCTTAGGAACATTACTGATTTTAAAGGACTTTCATACCTTAATTATCAACACGTGAACTGTTATGTTAAATTCACATATGAGGTCTATACACTAACATAGCCATTTATTTACTTCAAGAGCCTCTTTCTAGCAATACAGTATTAGCACTCACTCATTCGTCTACTTGTTTATTCTTCTAATGACTTTTTTGAGCATCTACTTCGTGCCAGTCACTGAGCTTGTGTCTGAGATGCCACGCTACTGAGACTCAGGGCCCATTATCTGTAGTGTCAGAGCTGCTTGCAGACGGGGGTGGTGGAGGGTGAGCTGTTCTCACTACCTCTCTGACCTCATTCTTCACTTGCCCTTGCCCTGGATCTGCCTCTCTGACCTGTTGTTCCTCAAGCATGCAGGCTCACCTTGTCTTGGGGCCTTTGCACCGACTATTGCCTCTGCCTAGAAGACGCTTCCCCCCAGAGATCGGCATGGCTAACTAGCTCACTACCTTCGAATCTTTGTTCTCTGTGAGGCCTTCCCTGACCATAGTAGTAAAAATTTCACATTAGCCTCTCTATCCCATACTCTGTAGCACTGTCCATTTTCTTACCCTGCTCTACTTTTTAATTCTGCCATAGCATTTTTTACTCTGCATTGTTCAATGCAATGAACAATTTATTGTCTATTGTTCACTATCTATACCCCCTGCTCTGCAAGGTCAGGTCTCTGTTTTGTTCACTGGTAAATATAAATCCAAGAACAATGCCTGGCATACAGTATGGGCTACATCAATATTTGTGAAATGAATGAATGGTGACAAGGAATCAAGACTGTGTTAAGCCAGAGAGTGGAGCCAAACACTATAAACAAGCACAGGCTAAAGCAGGGTTAACAGGGACGGCAGATACAGAGGGTCAGCTAAATGCATGTGGTTGGTCTTCCACGCTCTCCCTCTCAGCTCCTCTTGGCTCAGCATGGCTGGAGGTGCTGCGGGTTTGTGTTCCTGGAGGGTCCCACTCCACCTCACCCATCCCTCCCTTTTAAGTAAGAGAAATGGGGAGGAGACAGAAAACAACTGGCCAGCTGATCAAGTTAATACGAGGGCTGTCCAAGGTTGGGGGAATGACGTTGTTGGCAAGAAAAACTTTCTGAGCTCAGGTGATAGCTGCACGGAGGTGGGGAGGATCCCCCAGTGTTGTCTGGGTCACCGGCCAGCAGTGATCTCGGAACGCTGCGGATGGCTCGCCGAAAAACACGTGAGAAAAAACATGCACAGAGACAAACTAGTTTCTGTGGAGAAGTAGGGACGAAATGGCCACAGCCTCTAGTGGGGAGCGCGCCGATTTACCAGCCAAACCTGCTTTTATTGGGCTCGTTTTGCATAATAATTCAGGTAAAGTACAGTACTCATTAGGGGGAAGTAAGGAACAATAGATAACAAGGAACTCTGCCGGTCTATTTTGAGTCAGGGTCAAAGAGCTGTAAGACTTTGAGGAACAAACTAACTTCCTCCTTGGACCCTTCTCATTCAACTGAGAGCATTCTAAACAAAGGAGGTTTCACAGTAATTTACATATTCTTTCTTAGGCCTGATCACCTGGGGAATCCGCCTTTTTCAGCACAGAGCTGCACCACCCTGTCATTGTTTCAGGCTTAGGTGGAGCACGGGAACTGAGGCAACCAAGAGATAAGGAGATTTTCTCCCAGAGGATGAGGACTCAGGCTATGTCAAAGCCGAGGAGCGAGGGTCTATCACCCCCTTTTGCTGCAGCCCCCCAAGTCCTTCTTTTGGGGGGCCTCCCAAAGTGATTGTGCCTGTCTTAGGTCGTTACCCCCTTGGGGAATCTTACCCGTCTTTGGCTAACTGACCAAGCTTTTTGGGGGTTCAGTCATGAATAAAGCAGCAGAAGCAGCATTCCTGCCAGGGAGATAAGCTTTTGTCTCCTTGCTGGCTTACGGTTCCAAGGGCGTTCCCTTAGCCTTAGCCTAGGCGGGGGTTTCAGCTTCTGATACCAGTCAGGGCGGTTCCCAACACCCCAGCAAACAAGGAAACTCTTTGTTTCCCCTTAAGATGATTTCCAGTTTTTTGACTTGAGCAAGCAGGTGAATGGTGCTATTTACAGAGACGAGGAAGATCGAGGGAGGAAAAGATTTGGGGGATAGGAGAGTCTGAGCCGAGAGTTTAGTGTTGGACATGTCAAGTCTGAGATATCCGTGAGTTACTGGTGTGCCTCTGTCAAGTGGGTCGTAGGATATATGCACCTGGAGCTGATGGACTTATTTCTGCCTTTTTCTACTTTTTTTAATCTTTTTCTATTTTTATTTTTAATTTCTTATTTTTTTTTCATTCCTGAGAGAGGAAGGGAGAGAGAGAGAGAGAGAGCGCGTGTGTGAGAGAGAGAAGCATCAATGTGAGAGAAACATTGATTGGTTGCCTCCTGTATGCTACCCGACTAGAGACTGAACCTGCAACCCAGACATATGTCCTGACCAGGAATTGAACCTGTGACCCTTTGGTTTACAGGATGATGCTCCAACTGATTGAGCCATACCATCCAGGGCTTTTTCCACTTTTCTTCATGTGCCAGGTTCCTGTTGGCATCCTAGGCATGTACCAACGTGGCAGCATACGGGCAGACAGGCTAGCCCTCTCTGCCTCATTTCCCAATGTTCTTTGAGCAATTGCCTATATTGGGAAACACATTCATTCATCTATTCCTTCCACACCCATACGGTAAGCTCTTGTACTGGTGTTCTGCTGGGAACTGAGAGTGGAAAAATAAATAATACTAGCTATCAGCACTTAAGAAAATCAAATCACATCTAATTAGGGAGATGCTGACACATTGTGGAGATTTATGTACACTGACTTATGTGTAACTTGAAGAATAAATGAATACTTCCCTCTCCCTTCCTGCTGGAAAGAGACACCCCCCTCAAAGGGAATGAGTCTCAACAATTCCTTAAGAGCCCTTACAAGTTACAATTTCAAATCTGTGTTAAATCTTTGGGTCAATAAGATAGAGACTAGTCAGTGTATGTCTCAGCAATGGACCCACTTCTTTTTTCCATGCGCCTGAGGGTCACATTTTGAAAGGAGATAGGATGTAGAATAACATGGCATCAGGAAGAGAAATGGCTGGAAATGAATACTTGGGAGGCACCCAAACTTGGATGCCACAGAACCGATGGGCATGGGCTGCATCATCACTGATGGGCTCATCTTGGGAGGGTGACGGGGTGTGGTAATGGAGGAGAGAGCGTGTCACCCAGAGAACACCAGCACTGAAGGGCTGGGCAGGGAGAGAGGAGACCGTGAAGAAAGTAGAGTGGTCTGAAGTCGGTGCACCCGGAGAACAGCAGGTCACAGGTGCCCAACGAGGAACACCAGGGAGAAAGAAGAAGCGGTCTTAGAGTCCAGTGGTCAGAGCAGCCAGAGGAGCCACCTCACCCGGGAAGGACTACAATGTGCCTGCGAATTTTGTGAATGAGCCAGGGGACGTCAACGGGGGTGAACAGAGTGAATGGGATAAAAGGAAAGAAAACACTTTGTGTGTAATTTGTAAGGCAACTGGTGAAGGAAATGAGAGAACTGAGATGGTACCTAGAAAGCAAGACAGGATCGAGGGAAGTGCTTTCAGTTTTAACTGGAGAGCACAAGCATGACTGTACCGGGAGTGTTGAGAGGAAAGAGCCAGGGAGGAGGGAGAGATTGAAATCGCAAGGACAGAGTGAAATAGAATGGAATTCCTAAGGAAGAGAGAGAGCTGGCCCCCAGCACAGGTGACAAGACTAACCTTGGATGGAAGGTGGGTCGCCTCATCCTCCGAGAGAGGGAAAGAGTCAAGGACAGTGTTCTGCAATGGCCATCGAGCCTCTCCTAGGCATGAAATTGACTCCTTTTACTCTACTTCCTTCATGAAGCCCTTGAAGAGACAGCCAAGCGCTGAAGGTTCCTCTGGATTCCCAGAATGGCTGAGCCTTCACTGGGCCCTTCTCCTAGGGTAGGGCCCCCCACTCATACTGCAAACACCCACCGTTTGGCAGCCCATGAGGAGGGACTCTAAAGTGAGAGCAGAGACAACATGATTACAAACATGCATTACATATTTAAAAGTTTTTCATAAACACTATTTTATTTAAGGAGGGGAAATGCTCCTGTGTTTTGATTGGTGGTGTAAGAACTTCTTTTAGCTGAATCTTAATCGATAGCACGAAAGGGAGGAAAGACACACAGGGCTCTGATCTCACAGGTGGCAAGTGGGTGGCTGTGGGGTACCCGTGCTATTTCTGGAGTTTTAAGTTCATGGAGTTCGTTCATCTAATTTCCAGGCAGTGGCACATGCCCTAGGGACATACGGATTATATCACTGCTACTTTGGCTGAGCTTCAAAATGAATTATACAGGCAGGAGGGAGCATCCACCCAGTGTGCCTGCTTGGAGAGCCACATTCTGCTTCATTTCCTCTCTTGCCAGACAAGGAAACCAGACACTGAACTGAGTGTTGGGGAGCATTTTGTCCTCAGGGAGTTAAACTGCCTGAGTTCAAAGCCTGGCTTGGTCACGTGCCACCTGTGCAGCCAGGAGTGTGTTGCTGAACCTGTGTGTGCTGCCCCAGTTCATCTGCAAACGGGGTACAGAGGACAGTGCCCGTGGCCACCTCATCGTGTTGTGGTGTCCAGTAAATGAGGTAGTTCATGGGCTGAGTTTGCCTAGTGCCTGGGACATGGTGAATGTTCAATAATTCGAATTATCAATGTCTCTTTTTTTAATTAATATGCTTTAAAACTAATCCATATTAGTAAGACTGAGCACCTACTGTGCCTCATCCTCTCTCCAGGGTTCCTTATCCTCCGGGTAAGAGAATAAGACTGGTTTCCCTAAGGCAGTCCCCCCCACAGCCCCCGCAAGCCTTTTCTCACCCTGCCCTCACACCCAGAATCCCCTCAGGCCTCCCTCTCTGCCCTCTACCCACCCCCCCGAGTCCCAACCCAAGAGTCTGAATTCTTCCCTGAGAGAGGATGAGGCATGATATGAGAAGAGGCTGGGGTTTGAGCCTGCTGATAAAATGGCTTTTTGATGAAAGTCTAATTAATCCATTGCTAGGGAAAACTTAATTCAAGTTGTACCTCAAGTCTGATCATGAGACAGCTTTACACAGCCCACACCAGCGCCTGCCACCCCTTCGGTCCGCTCTGGCACTCCTATCTGCCACGAGCTCATTCTTGATTCTGCATTTTTGGACATTGCTTGGGTCTGTCCCCAAATTCCTAGAGTGATGGTTGCTATAGTAACAAAATATTTCTAAAGAAAAAAAACTAGAGCTAGTTAAGGACATAGACTCAAAGGCAAAATCCATGGCATTCAACCAAATAAATACCCATCAATGGGGCATGCTGTGAAGCTTTAATTATTGGGCTCAGAGATCAAAGGCACATTACTCACCAATGGAGAAGCCAAATGTAAATGAGAAAGGTCTTTCTTAAACAAGTGGTGACAACTCCCTGAGTTTAGCGAAGTGTGCCAACGAGTTTATACACACAGTCACCTGATGGCCCTTGAACACGCACGTGAGCAGGGGAGGGAGCGTGGTATTGTGTGTGCTACACGCAGGACAAAGTTTCCTGGGTGCTGCTCACACAATGCACAAGGGCATTAGTGTCACAGGGAGATGGCTTTGGGCACGAGGCAGAGGATTCTCAGATACGCAGTTGCATGGAGGGTGCAGCCGGGAGCCTGTCCTCCTGAGCACTCAGCCCGGAGTATAGGCTGGGTATTTGTTAACGTCTGTGCTCTTCCGTTAATTGTTTCCCAACTTCATTATACAACAATCTAAAAAGCTGGTCATATGCTCTACTCCAGACCCCAAGGAAAGGAGGAGTGAGATGGGGCCAGAAAGCCTTTTCATCGGTGTCTATTTTGGAAAAGATATTGACAAAAGTGTGGGTTGGAGTAAGGGACAGAGACTTTTTACTTCTGAGATAGGCAATCAGCAACCCTGATCTCTGTGGTTAGGTTCTTCATGACTGAATCCAGAATGAGAATCAACAATTTATTTCCTTAGCTCCTGTCCCTCTTTGCTCTTAATCACTACAGTCACACAGTCCAATCACCCATATGTCCACACTGTGGGGGAGGGGACTGACAGCCACTTTCTTCATTTTGAGGATGCTTCACTGTTTCGGATTTTCAAAGGAGAGAGGGGAGATGGGGGAAGCGGGAGACCGTGGACCGTGGGGAGAGAGCTCGCACCATCCTCCTGATCCATTTGCAAGTGGCTCAGAAGCGAGAATGTAGAATGAAAACCTTTGCAATCTGGCCTTAGTCAATCTCTCCAGTTGTTTCCTGCTTCTCTCACGTTCCCAAACTCCTGACTCCAGGTGTACCCACTTGTTGTCCCATCACAGAAATCACTGTAGATTAACTGCCCTAAAGCCATTCTGAATATCATTCACCTTTGCTGCTCCTCACTACAGGGGCTGGAAAGCCAAACACATACACTTTCCCATCTCCACCACAGGCACGCGTGGCCCCACCTGTCAGGTCTGGTGCATTGGATGTGAGTGGACATCTGCTGGGGAACTTCTGGGAAATGCTTTCTTAAAATTTTTTCCTTCAAAAAATGAGACATGCTACTGATGATATAGCTTTTCTTCCTGTCTCCTGTTTTCTGCCGTGAACATAGATAGGACGGCAGGAGGTGCATCAGCTACCTTGCAGCCATGAGGGAAAGCAAGGCCAGTGCAGAGATGTAACCACTGAGCCACTAAAGCTATCTCTACATTTCTTACTATGCAAGACAATGACACTTTATCAGTTTAAGCTACTGTTGGTTCAGTTTTCCATTATAGCCTCCTGCAACCCTAACAATATGTGACCCTGAACTAGGTGCTGGGATGTAATGAAGAACAGAGCAGGTATGGGCTCCTTCTTATCTAACATTATCAAGTGTGAGAGACAGAAAAAAGGAAATGATTAAGTCCAAAAATAACAAATGATGGTTTGTATTATGAAGGAAAGAAAAAAGATAATGTTGTGATGAGAACTCTGGTGGGGGGGGTGCCTATTTCATATAGATAGAGGGGTCACGGGAGGTCTCTTTGAGGAGAAGGGGGTTAAGTTAGGACCTGTAGGATGAGAAGACACAGCCATTTGAAAAGGAGATAGAAAGGGTTTTAGACCAAACAGCTAGTAGTGCCAAGGTCCCTGGACAAAAAGAGCTTAGAGCGGTCAAGGAAGTGAAAGCTCACAGTGGCTGAGGGAGCGAGGGGGAGGTGTGAAAGAAAGGAAGGAGGGAAGTGGGCAGGGGCCGGATCACACAAGGCCTGGCACGTCCTAAAATGGGGTTTGCCTTTTAGTCTAAGGGCAGTGTGAGTTTTTAAGCAAAGATCCCTGTGGATGTTGGGTAGAAAATGGACCAAAGGGAGGTGAGAGTGGAGATGAGGAGATGGGTTAAGAGGCCACTACAGGGGCCCAGGGAAGAAAGGTGGTGACGTGTCCTAGGACGGTACCAGCAGGGACGGGGACACAGTGTCATTAGGACTTGCTTCTCACTCACTAGTCACTTCTGTTCTGGTTTTCTGATTTTCCTTCTGTACCAGTGGCCATTTCTTTAAGATCTTTGTCTGGCACTTTGCTCACTTCTCCTCTAAATATTGGGGTTCCTCCAGATTCTTACCTAGGCTCTCTTCTCTCTTTACTCCACAGCCTTTTCCTGGCAGAGTCCATAATGCATCCACTCCATCTCTATATTGATGACATCACCCATACATCTTTAGGTTGGGTTTCTCTTTTTAGCAAGAGACATGCTTCCAACTGCCCATGAGCTAGCCTCACTCGGATGAACCACTGGCCTAAATACTCTCCTGTGGACACTATTCCCAGGCGGCCTGCGTCTCGCCTGTGCTCCCTCCCTGCTCAGAGAGAGGCGGCCCCATCCTGGGCACTGAACCTGACGCCTTGGCCCTGGTCTCACTCACCTGTTGCTCACCAAGTCCTGTTCATTGGTTCTCCTTCCAAACCGTCCACTTCCCCCCATCCCCACACCACGATCCTCACTCAGGCCTCCGTCATCTTTCACGCAGTCTCCTGATTGGTCTCCCTGCCTCCTGGCGCATCCACTTCCAACCCATTTTCTGCATCGAAGATAGAATTTTCTCTCTCAAACACGATGGTATAGTGTTCCTGCTCAAAGCCATCGACTGACTTGTCAATTTTCTTAGGATAAAATTCAAATCCTTGACATGACTAAGGCCCCTGTGGCTGCACTTTTCTCTTGGCTTTGAGTCCCGGGTCTGAGCCTGTGGGATCCTCAGCCCCCTCGTCTGCGTATGGGGGTCATGACAGCACCGGCCTCCCAGCCCGTGGCTGTGGACTACGCAGGGTAGGTGTAAGGCACCCAGCATGGGGTCCATCAGGTGGCCAAGGCTCGGAGTTGGCGTGCTTTCTCACTGGCCTTCAGAGTCAGGCAAGACCCGTCTCCCAGAAGAGGGCGCTGTTGGGAACAGCACCAGGAACGGTGAGGATGTAGTTCCCAGCTCCAAGCCTCTCTTTGGCCAAGCCTGCTGTGTCCAATGACAACCCTTCGTGCTGAGAATTAAGCCTACTTTTATTTCTTCCCTCGTGGGCACCCTGTGGAGCCCTCACGGCTCATGCAGTAATCTGCAGGGGGTGCTGAGCTCGGCGCTCTGGAAAACCACTCCAGCTCTCCCAGGGAGCGCTGTGAACAGGGCCAGGCCTTTGATCCCTGGGAGGTCTGTGCGCCCTCCATGTGCCCTGTGACCTGCCCCCTGACCCTCGGGCCCTTCTGTCCTTCTGACCTTCTTCTGTCCTCAGTGGCTCCCCCTGCCTTTCATGCTGCCTCGGGTCCCCTTTCATTCTTTGCAGGCAAACTACACATTGCTTCTTTC